TATCTCCAAAATCACCCCCAGGGCGAGGGCCTCCGCGGTAACCATCTCTATCACCAAATCTTGACCTATCCCCTTCAAAACGTGGAGGTCCCCTGAGAAAAAGGAAGGAAAAAAAAAGAGTAGCTTTCTAATAAGATAACAACACAACTTTAGAGCAAAGCTATTGACATGTAAACTTAAAATACAGGAAAAAAGCACACAATCCGTCTTACAAAGGTGAAAATATGACAGAATAAGTACCTAGGGCGATCACCAGGCGGTCCAGAACCAAACGGGCGGGGAGGTCCCTTTGCAGCCTTCTTAAGGGTAGCAGGAACAATCTCAGATGGAAGGTTCAGATAAGAGCGGAGGTGTTCGATGCCATCATTAGTGAGGAACCAGTAGTAATGCTCCCAGCCGAAGGTCTCCCTCACAAATTCCCGAGATTTGAAACTTTGCATCAACTTTATGACTTGAAGGTTCGGCACATCAATAAGTGGATGCTTTGGCAGGTTAAAGTCCTTCTTTGCGTACAATACCCCCTCTACAAAGCCAAGAGCGAAATATAAGAAAACAATCTATAAATAATCATAATACAATTAGCAGAGAGATCTAATGGTGCAGTAGAATCTCCTGAGTTCTTGAAGACGTACTGGTAAAATGTAAATTAAAAATGACAAACTTTAAACATCTCTTTGAGCATTCAAACTTTTACAATTATAAAAACATAGAGTGACATAAGAAGCTCCAAGTCGCATGTTAATAACATTAATTGAACCAGGGAAGATGACATGTTTGCATATAGATATGATTTGCACGAATATGAACCATTCACACCCAACAGCAATGGTATTGATAATCTCCATCGCTTAATTCAAATATAAAGAAAATACTTATTATTCATAGTCTCTAGAACCAACAAAATACGAAAATCTGAACAGAATAACCTGATGATTTAATATATCCATATGACAAAAGAATAAATCATGTTTTTCTTAATCATATATATTTCTAATCATATATAGTTTATAGGAGAAATAAGAATGTTACGATGGATGCGTGGATATAAAGTAAGAGATAGAATGAGAAGTGAGTGGACCCATAGGAACTTAGATGTTGTGGATAAAAATGCCGGACTTGATCAAGATGTTTTGACCGTCAGCATCGGAGGGCTTCATGAGCACCACTTAAAAAGATCATGGAATTAATTTCATGAAATTAATTTCGAGAAGGAGGGAACCCTTAACAAAAATGAACAGGATGGAGCCTTCAATGCCGCGATGATAGCTAGGTCAAGTGATAATCTCAACATAGTCCACATAGTTCAACGATCATGTTTGCTTGAATTATCCGTTTTCATCTAAAGACAACTAATCATGTGCAATACCAATCCTACGTTCTGGACTAAATGTACATTGTGAATAAAAATTTATCTGCAGTAAAACTGAACTCTGTGCAATACCAAGGTATTCCTTATGATAGATAAATCTATTAATTCAAACACACGCTTTTCAGTGTTTCACCCTCTAGAGTAAATAAAACCAACATATGCAAAGAAATATCTTGTGAATTTTCATTTTCCAAAACCCCGACAATTTGCATTCCTTGCCTAACAAAGGACATTCAGTGCTTCTACTCCCCAGAGGTACAAAACCAAAACATAGCAGACCAACATCTTTCAAAATGCAGAAACCTAGATTTTCAGAATCCAAAACCCTAGCAACTTAATTTCCTTGCCAATAACCTAGATTTTAATTGTCCAAAACCCTAGCAATTTGATTTCCTCGCCCAACGACATTCCACAAGCTCAGCGAATCTAACAAAAACCCAAAAAAAACGAAATTTGGCGGGAAAAACTAACCTTGGAAGAGGTACTTGCAGATCTCCTGGCGATTCTTCTTCGGGATAATCTGAAGGCAAAGAATTTGATAAAGAAATTCAGAGATCGGGAACTAAAACCCTAAAAAAAATTTACCCTAATTTTTGAGCTTACCATGTTGACGAGAACCCTGAGGAGCCGCAGCAGCGTTTAGAGGAGAGAGAAAAAAAAACCCTAGAAACTATAAATTTATAGGCAGGGCTTTACTGGTTACTTGACGGCCCGATTTAATTTTGGGCCGAAAGAGATTAAGTTGGGCCGGGCTTCAGAATCCTACTTTCGTTGGGCTTTTTGAAAATAAAAGTACGACTGAAACTTAAAGCCCGTATTTAATGGATCTACACCGAAACCCGAATTTAACCAGACCCGTTAGCTCCTTGATATCCATCTCCCGGAAAACGCGCGCCAATAGCACGACGAATTCTCCACCGCCCACAATTCCGGCGGGGCCCACTCCTCCATTTTCCCGCCAATTATTCCAAAGCCCTGAAGCTCTATCTCCGAAAAATTTCCCAAAACCGCCAAACCCTAGGAATTCCTAGAAACCCTAGCTATCAGAAACAGAATGTATGTGGTGAAGAGAGACGGAAGGCACGAGCCCGTGCACTTCGACAAGATCACGGCGAGATTGAAGAAGCTCAGCTACAGATTGAGAGCCCCGAGCACTGCGATCCTGTGCTCGTCGCCCAAAAAGTCTGCGCGGGGGCCTACACGCCAACCATCAAGATTACGCCTCGGTATCATCGGTCCTCCATCTCTGCGATCTGATGTTGATTTCTTGAATTTTGATGGTCGGTTGACTCAAATTTTGGATCTTGACAGCTTGCGGCGAGGATTGCGGTCTCGAATCTTGACAGCTTGCGGCGAGGATTGCGGTCTCGAATCCGCTCTCTAAAAATTGACAAAAATAGGTAATGGAGATTCTTTTTTTTTCCCTCTCCGAGTTTGATCTGGGAAATATCTTAAAACTGTGGTGTTTGAATTTGATTTCAGGATTAAGGTCATGTATCATCATTATAATGAGAGATCAGGACTGGAAGCGCCTCTGATTGCTGATGATGTTTATGAGATAATCATGAAGGTAATGTCCTTCAATTTTGTCCAAAGTTTCTTAGATTAATGCGATCTGATGGCGACAGAGGTTTTAAATTGAGATAAACTGTGTTTGATGATGCCATAATTTTCTTTTATGATTATAATCTCCTCAATTTAAGTCAAGATGACTGCTAGCCCTTTGAACCACTTCTTTGTTTTTTATGCATAAATTTGATGCATAACGGAAATGATTTTTTATTTGACTCATTAATATATGACAATGTTACGTTCTGTTACCTATTTTGCTCAATTTTTAGAGAGCGGCACTCTGAAATTTGTGCACCCAGAACGTTTTATGTTGTAGCAGCGTAGTACCGCAGTGACTTGTGCACGTCACTAAATAATTTATCACTCTGTATATTTTCTTTAATGTTATTAGCTGGAATAACTAATATGTGTAAGCTACTAACATTACTCAAATTTGTTAATCGCAGAATGCAACTCGCCTGGACAGTGAGATAATCTACGATAGAGATTTTGATTATGACCTCAACACATGCTGATAGAAGGTTGTTGAGACTTGAGAGACCTCAACACATGCTGATGAGAGTTGCCGTTGGGATTCATAAGGATGATGTTTATTCTGCTGTAAAAACATACCATCCAATGTCGCAACAATGGTTGCACATGCTTCCCCCACTTTGTTTATTGCCTACAATCCAACATCTATAGAGCCGAAGAGTTCTGAGGTTTGTTTATTAGCACCTGGTGACATCACTCTGCAAGTTTTAAGGCATGACAAGTTCCTACGTAAGCCTAATACTTCAATTTTGCAGTGGAGAATTTGTAGTTGTGAACAAACATCTCCTGCGTGACTTGACTGAAATGGGAATCTGGTCTCCGTTACTTAAAAAAACAAATATAGTTTATGAAAACGGTTCAGTTCTTAAATTTCCAGAGACTCCTGAGCATCTCAAAGCAATTTGTAAGTTAGATCTTTTGCAGAGGCTTGCATTTCTTCACCGACTCGTATATTATTTTCTTACGCATTAACCTTTGTGATGTTAGAACTGTGTGGGAGATCAAGCGAAGGACAGTTGTTGACGTGGCCACTGATCGCGGCTGCTTTATAGATCAAAGTCAGAGCTTGAACATTCACACGGACCAACCAAACTTTGGAAAGCTTAACTTCACTTCACTTCCATGCTTGGTCGAAGGTATTACGTCATCCCTCAACTACAACATTCTATGTTTTTTGATAATGAACTTATATATATTTTTTCATTGTCAATTCTGCTGAAACAATGTAACTCTCTGGTAAAGGGTCTCAAAACGGGAATGTATTACTTGCGTTCACGTGCTGCTGCTGATGAAATTAAGCTCACTGTGGATATTTCCTTGCTCAAGGTAGAAAAACAAATCTCCTTTTTCTGTAGGCAATATTACGGTCAAGTTTGTCTTCAAATGTATATACTTCAATAATCAAAATGTCGTCAAAATTTGCAGAAGGAACCAGTGGAAGAGGACAATTTGGAATGTAAAATGGCTCAAGTTGCCTGTTCCTTGGAAAACCGTGAAGAGTGCATGGCATGTGGAAGTTAAGAATTATCGACACTTGACCTTTAGAAAGATGAAGTGTGGCAATGACTACTTCAAAGCTGCAGGAGTCTTACGTCAAAAATTGAGTAACATATATTTCTCTTATCTGCGCTTGTTGAGAGAGAAGTGCTCTTTTGAGTAACATATATTTCTCATATTTTCCTGCTCATATATACTATCAACATCGGCTTCTCTACTTCATACTTCACAGCATGTCAATTTGTAAACCTGTGATGTTGAAATCATAACGTTTACTTGTACTCACGACTTCTCATTTTTGACAGTGAATGATCTATTCTGTTTATGCGCCAGACAAAAGTTCAACTTTTATACTTTGGTGGAATTTTTTTTTTCCTTAAGTCAGATATGTGATCGGTCATACATTTACGAGAGCATCCATTGACCTAGTCTGGTTGATTCGAAGTGAATTATTCATGCAGCATTTTGTTCTTCAGCTGCAAGTAGGCTCATTCTCTTGCCTCTTTGCTTGTTTGAAGTCAAAATTTGACTTTGTGTTATTTTTGGCTCGTTTTGTTTCAGAGTGCAAACAGTCTATGTAGGGGCGTTGAGGTTCATATCCTTAACGGGCATGAGCGAGTTACAGGTACTTATATATTGTAGCTCAAAATTTTCCTATTTCGTCTCAATTTTTATTTTAAGCTGAAAATATGATTTATTTCTATTTTCATACTACTATTACATTCTGCAGTTAGTTTCCCTTTTGGGTGCTGCTACAGGGACCCCAAATAGGGGACCCAAAGGGGGGGGACAAGTAAGGTGTCCCCCTGAATGCATGATGCACTGTTCTATAGCAGTGCATCATGCATTCAGGGGACCCCCCTCCCCTCCCCGGTCCCCTATTTGGGGTACCTGAGGTGTTTTTGTTCGCTTTTTATGTGGAGCATCCGAGTCCGTACGTCATTAATGCCTCCTTCTGTTCCTAAACGTCACTAATTGAAATATTTATAAACAGGAAAGTTCAAATAAAAAATCTAACCTGAAATAAAAATTACAGGCCACACCCTAATTCTGAAATAAAAATATCATGAAATTCATCAAGTTATTCAACGTCACTAATCAAGCGCTACAATGAACGACAGTTGATGGACAAGTTCACTTGGACTATGATAGGTAGCAAGGAACACGTGTCCTATATTCTTTTCGCGTTTATGGTGTGATAAAATGGGATGCCATGTTTTGCATTTATTTATTTATTTTTTTTTTGAAATTTTTATTTTATTTTATCTTTTTGGGGCTCTAATTTCTTTGCCTCTCAACCACCTGGCTTTAGAGTAGCTTCGTCCTCGTGGTTCTTAGGGATCCAATGTTATTAGGTAAGGCCTCAAACGATCTTAGGGTATAAAACTTTCATGTGTAAGTTATTAATATATAGTCGAGTGTCAAATTTTGCTTATGTTTAAATGATATTAATGCGCATCCGCCTACTAATTTGATCCGACAGCGAACTACCCACAAACTGCAACAACTACCGACCTAATTAGTCAAATTCCCGGATTAAATCCCATGAGTTGTGTCAAATCAAACCCAGCGCTTCCGCTCTCATTTGTTTGGATAATCAGATGCATTTAGTTTCTGATAGATCTAAATGCGTGGGCGCGTTTAATCTTTTTGGCCTTATTATTGATATTTGGAGTTAAAAAGGTAAGCCATTTGGCCACAAAAATTACCGGGCCACTTGCTCCTCGATTCTGATTGAATCAAAAGAGACAAGGACTGGTGATAACACCCAAGGCCTCTTCCATTCATTCCTTGAATCAGATAATGATTAGGAGGAGATAAGGGGTATGGGTAGGGGTGTTATCGGAGCGGATACGACTCGGATATGACACTTACCATATCCATATCCGCTTACCCATCTCGGATACGGATACGGATACGGATACGGATATACATCGGTAAGAAAAATTTATATCCATATCCGCAAAAATCGGATACGGTTACGGATATAGATGCGGATATTTAAACGGATATGTATCCGGATACAAAAAGGATATGAGAAAACTAGATAATATTTAGAAAAATATAGTCATGTGATACAAAAGAGATGTTCATTATGATTGGGAAGCTAAGATTAGACATCTTGATCATCAAAATTAACCACAAATCCATAATCTAAGAATCGAAACTATCGTAAGAGTACGACCAATATGTATTCGGATATTTCGGATACAGATACGGATATTTCACTACAAAACCATATCAGTAAACATATTCTATCGGTTATACATTTGAGTAACCATATCTGTTTCCTAACGGATACAGTTATGGGTATTTTCACAGATACGGATACGGTTTAGCACCCCTATATACGGGCCTAAAAGGTTCAAAATTGTGGTTTTAAAACAAAAGGGATCACGTGGGGCTCCCAAGCACTAGAACCTTAAAGAAATGACAATTTAGACCATGAGGAGCTTATTTTTAGCTCATGGGTATTGAAGTTGGCCAACCCAAAGTGCTTGTACTTATATGTAATTATGTGGGGAGAAAAACAAAGAACAAAAAAAACAAAAAAAACATCATTGTCAAATATCTAGCTCCTTGGATCATCCATACCTATAATCATCCATTATCTATACGCCCAAGCCTACATTTATCCATTATCCGTTATACTTGGGTTATAATTATTTTTCACGGACATAATTCCACCAGCGGAAAAAGAAAATCTAATAAATGATCATTGCCTTGGTGGATGGATTTCCGTTGATAGAAGTGAAAACTCTTCTTTCTTTCTTTTTCTTCTTCTTCTTCTTCTTCTTAAATACAGATGGAACCTCCATGATGAGGCTCCGGCTATTTCATTACTCAAAATGGACTGGTTACAAAAAGAGAGACCAGTGTGGTCTCTATTAACCAGGATTCCACTATGAATAAAATGGCAATATCCAAAATCGATCTATTTTACTAGTTCTCCACACCCGGTGGTATTTCTTATTCATGCAAAACTATTTTATTAGATTATCAAGGATATGCTCAGTGACAGGGCTATATAGGGTCCAATGGTACGACAGTATATCACTAGATTGTCTACTTTATAAACGTTTTTATTTATTCTCTACTTTATAAACATTTTTACTTATTTTTACATGTATTTACTACTTGTGATATCATTGTGACCAGGACGTGACACCGCTGAAGAGGATAATCTTTGAAATTGCCTACTTCAATAAGGACCGTTTGGATCGGGTATGTTGAAGGGAAAATGAGAGGGAAAGCTGTCAATTTGCCAGCTTTTTGGCAGCTTCCCCCCAAAATATAAGCGATTTTGGGGGAAAGCTGACAAATTGACAGCTTCCCCCGTCCTTTCCCCTTTAAAATACCCGATCCAAACAACCCCTAAACAAAATTTTGGAGATATACAGTGACGTCACCGAAACAAAATTTTGGCTGTGCCACTGGATATGCTACATTTTTTTCACTTGAGTTGCTGTCCTATTGGATTGGTATCTCAGGAGATATATTGTGGGCCATTCATCCAGTGATATCAGGCCTAAGGGGCTTAAGTGGGACCCCCAATGTGATCTTCTTTCGGATGAAATCATTCAAGAAGTAAATGCAAACGATCATCTTCCCGCAGATAATCAAGAATATCTTTCCCAATAATGGCGTGAAATATCTCGTGACTCGGACTGGCCTTGGTTTACGATGGTCTTTTTACATGTTGGCCCCTTGCTTTTTTCATATCTCAAAATCTGCCTTCCGAATCATTGAAAGCATCATTTACGCCCTCAGTTCGTGCAAGTTGTTTCCCAATTTAGTTCCTTTATCTGTCCAATTCCTTAAACATTAATGCCTCACGGACCACAATAGGGGACCCAAGGCATGGGACATGTGAGGTGTCACTATCCGGTTGCATGATGTGCTATTTATGAACAGTGCATCATGCAATCGGATGGTGACACATCACATGTCTCATGCCTTGGGTCCGGTCCTTGTAGCAACACCCATAAATAAATTTGGGTTTGGTGTTGGGGTTTTAATAAGAAAAATTCTTAAAGGACCCAAAATATGGGACCAATAGAGGGGACAAGTGAGGTGTCTCCCTCCTATTGGATAATGAGTTGCCATCACCTATTGGATAATGAGTTGGCCATCATTAATGATGGCAACTCATTATCCAATAGGAGGGAGACACCTCACTTGTCCTCTCTAGTGCTCTCATATTTTGGGTCCCTGTAGCAAAGCTCTTTTAATAAGCTTGGGTTCTAAAACCGAGTAAGAACTTGGATCCTAAGTTTGACTTTGGTGGTATGTTTCCGCTAATCCCAAGGACAGTTCACAGTGTGGACTAAGCTAGAAGTTTCAATGATCTTAGGGGCTAATTCAGAAATATAAAAAGATTTTGAAGGGACCAAAATTTGTAAAAAAAACCATCTATCTACATTGACATTATCCATAGTCAATAGTTGTTCGGACAGCGAGATTCCAGGTTATCCCAAAGATATTCAACCATTGGGTGGGGCCATGTCGTCATCGGCTATTTTATTTTACAAAATTTTGGAAGTCCAAACCTTTTGAAGGATAAACATAATAATAGCAAGTCTAAAGACCTAGTTAGATAAGTTCAAAGTACACTGCCCCTGTACCCCCCTCTGCGAGTTGGGTGGCTCGCGGTTCACCCGCGAGCCAAAAAGCAGGATTTGCAACAAATAGCCCCCTTGATTTTCCTATTATTGAGTACATCCTTCCCAGTCCTCAGAAAGGGGAAGCACCTCAAAAGGGGGAAGCATTTGCGTAATCTCTAAAAACCCATCTCATGCCAAACTATACCTCAAAAGAAAAATCACCTAACATTGCACCAAAGTTAATAATGATTCCAATGAAGTATTGAAATTGTCAACCGAAGCCTTGCACTCAAAAAGTGTCTTCTCTTTTTAGGGTGCGCCTGATTTGTATTTATTGGAGTCACAGTGTAGATTCAATAACAGTACAGCTCCTATTACATATGCCGGAGTTAGACAAGGGTGTCTGATTTGTATTTATTGGAGTCAGCAATTTATTTTCTATAAATACATGTCTCAAAAACTTGAAAATATTAATTTTTCAGATATTGTTGCAATTGTTGTTGTGTGTAATTTTAATTGCAATTGTTGTTGCGGTTATTTGGTTTGGTTTTAAAAAAAAAATTCGCTTGCAACTCAGAAATGTCGACTCATGTTCAAATCCGCGTAAATTGTCGGCTGTGATTTCATTTTTTTTAGGTATAATTGTAGATGTAAATGATTGTATCTGTCATTTGCAGTAAGGGGTTGTTTGTTTGTCTAAAAAAAAAGAAAAATCAAAGAAATGGAAAACTATTTCTGGGAAAAATTGTTTTGGGAATGTTTGGTTGGCTAAAAAAAAAAGAAGGAAATCAAAGAAATGGAGATGAGATGATGTTAGTCGCCACCATATTATAGGATGATGTGAGTGATTTTTTAAGAAAAATTGTTTTGATGTTTGGTTGGTGAAAAAAACAAGGAAATGAATTATAAGAAACCTATTTCTTGTAATAGGTTGTTTTCTTTTGTTTGGTTTATTCTTAAAAATAATAAAATAGATGAGATGAGTTGTCATTATATTATTGGATGGTGTGACTCACACTTAAGGAAATCGTTTTCCTAGCTTTTTAGGAGAAAATTAGTGTAAATGAAATGTTAATGAGATGAGATGAGTTGTCACCATCTTATTACATGATGATGTGAGTGATTTGAAATGATGAGATGAGATGAGTTGAGTGATGTTGTGGATGAAAATAATATTTTATTAGATGTGTTGGATGAATTGTTGGGTAAAAATAATATTTTATTAGATGTGATGGATGTGTTGTTGGATAAAAATATTTTTTTATTAGATATTGCAGATGAGCTGATGGATGAAAATAATATTTTATTAGATGTTGTGCGTGAGTTTTAGGGATTTAAATGGATGAAGTTGTACTTTTTGAGATTTCCGCTTTTTCATTTCCATTTCTTGGTTTTCATGAAATAACATCCTAGTAACAGCAAAACAAACTAAACCCTTAAAGAAAAATATGATTGATTTATAATATCTTTGGTACGAGACAAGAAAACCTTGTCCTACGTTCATACCGTAGGCCAGAAAAAGCCCACTGGGCCAGCGCCGATGTCGGCACAAAAAAAAAAAGAAAAAAAGAATCCAGAAAACAAATCCGAGTTGTCCTCCTCCTCAACTGTAACTTGTCAGTTTATCCCCCAAATTGGATCCTAAATTCCTACTCACCGACTCCCTTTCAATTTCCCCTACCCAAATACAACCCCCTTCACAAACCCCAGTCAATCTCAGTGTGAACCCCATCTTTTCGCACTTAGCCCCCCCCTACTTTTTAAAACATTGCATCTTTTTACCTTTTCAATATACAATTGGCGGCCAAAACCGCACGTTTGAATTGGCCATCTATATATAAGCTTGTAATGAGCCCTCAGCTTGTCTACTACCACTTGCTGCATTCTCTCCATACACTACCCCCTCTCGAATTAAGATTAATGTGCTTCGACATGTCGAATTTACCCAAATTTGGGCTCGGCGGAGCTGAAGAGGGGGAGGAGGAGGCGGTAGAGTCGAGAGAACCGGCGTTAATGGCGCCGGTTCTGTCGAGGTACCATCGGGACCTGGAGTTTTCAGCAATGGTGAACGCATTGAGCCGGGTGGTCGCGGGGGAGCCGGACCCCGCATTTTCTTCGTCGGGGTCTTCGCAGTCTTCTTCGTCGTCCGGGTTGAGGATGGCGAGGGGGGAGGTGGGTTATGGGCTGCAGCGTTATTACCAGGCTGGCGGTCATGGGTTCGGTGGTGGTGGTGGTTATGGAGGAGGAGAGGGTTCATCGAGTTTTAGCATTGCAGGTATTACTTGGTTAATTTCTGTTTGTTATTTGTTATGTTTTTATTGGCATTTTGATATTTGATTAGGAGTTTATGTGTATGTAACGTAGGTTCTAGCCGAGTTGGTAAGTTGGATGTGAGTAGTACGCACGAATTTAATTTCGTGGAATGCCCGAGGGCCGTGCATTGGAGGGTGCCCCTTAACGACTCCCGGGGGTTTGATATCCATGATCCGAGGGATCGTGGGGGGGATCGAGTTCCCTCCCCAAACCCAATAAAAGATTATTCATTAGGAAGACGGTAGGAAAATGAGAAATTGTTTAGTTTATGATAGAGCAGAACATGATCTCCAACTTACTCTTTTTGCTGCGTTCTCCAATGTAATAAGAAAATTCTCTTGTTTGCATGACGTTGAATATCATACTCTCTCTCATTTAGAATACTCATATGTTTCATGTGGGTAATAGCAAATATTTATTGCTGAGTACGTAGCTTAGCTGTAAACTAAAAAAAAAAAAAAAATTGGTACCAGCTATCATAATACCTCTCATTTTTAATAGGATGAACAATATCAGTTGTGAATTGTGGTTATTTTTATAAGTTTTAATTACTCGAGATAGGTGATAACTATCTGTTGAATGCTAAACCAATTATGACTTTGAAAATGATCTTTTTTTTTCATAACTTTTCTTCTTCTCTTCCCTGTTTTTTCTTTTGGTATGTGTTACTCTATGAAACTTAACTAACTTCTCAAAACTTCTAACCATAATAACTCCTGTTTCTAAGTTCTAACACAAATTTTCTCTCTCCTCTCTCTCTCTCTCTCCACAGGACCAACTCAGACCATTCAACTGCCATCTCCTCAGCTCTCGCCTCCTCAACCACCCCACGCGCCCCCTCGCGCCGCCACCGGAAGGCCGATACCGTGGGTCCGGCAGAGGCCGTGGGCAAATGGGCGGCGAGATCCGCGACCCGCACCGCGCGAGACGTGTCTGTCGGCCACGTTCGAGAGCCGGATGGCCAGCCGCCCGTGCTTACTTGACGAGGCCGCCATCCGTTTCCGAGGAAGCAGAGCGAAGCTCAACTTCCCTGAAAACGTGCCCACACAAAGTCAAAGTCAAAATCAAAGTCAAAGTCAAAATCCTAGTCCTAGTCACAATCCTGCATCCAATGAGCCAACGAGAGACTATTTGGAGTATTCAAGATTGTTGCAGGGGAGTGGAGACAGTCTTTTGGAGCAGTTGATGGTTTCTAGTTCTAGCTCTGGTTCTGGATCCGATCAGATGGGCCATGTTGGGTCCGAGTTCGGGTCGGGTTCGTGGATGGGTTCGAGCCAGTTTCCTCCATCTTCTTCTGGTTAAGATCTGGCTTGGGTTTCTTAGGTCCCTTTGCTTTGTATTTGGCTAATCTTGAAGTGAAAAAAAATGATTCATTTCTTATGTTATTCTAATTTTTGTTACGCAGGCGAATTGCCCATCTCGAGTTTTCCTCTAGTTCTTTTATATCTGGAGTCTCTCTGAGAGTTTAAACGTGATTAAACAGATCTTGAGAACTAAATTAATCGAACTAATTTTGAAAGAACACTAAAAAAACTAATTTCGAAAGAAGTAATTTCTTTATGAACAAGTGATACCGTAGCCTAGATGAAAATAAGTGAAATGCAACGGGAAGCATTTCTAAAGGTTGACTAAGATGTAGGTATCCTATCATAATCCTCTAGTTACTAGTACGGACCTTTTTACGAGGCATGAATCGTCTAAAATTTTTCATTATTATGAAAACTACAAGGGGGGAAAATACTATTATTGATAACATGTATTATATTTATAATATATCTCTATTGTCGAAGGGATAACCCAGTGTACCCAAGGGTATTTTCGTCTTTTCAACACCTCGCGGCGACGTATAATCCTTTATCCGAATTCAATTGTAAACATTTTGGTGCATCAAATCGAAATAAAAGAGAGGGAAGAACCTTTCAAAACTTTTGAGACCTTGTGAAATGAGATGAGATGTGCGTGTATGTATCATATATCGCACTTAGTACTATGTGTGAGAGAATTTCGCAAGTACGATATTATACATCTTACTTTTACACGGAAAATCTCCCATCTTTTCTTTATGTAATAACATGCAGCATTTCAAAGTCTTCATTTTTAAACAGGTTTGAGTTTTTACAGACAAATTTAACAACTTGATCGCCAACTATTGACTTCTCATCTAATTTCACACAATTTACAGGTAAACAAGAATGCTAACGCAACCGATGAGATACTCTTCGATCCTAATGAACTCCCCAGAGATCGATCTCGGCCCTGAACTCTCAAAAGAACCCAATAGAGCTCATCAAAGACCCACTCTCCAGAACTAAAGGGTCAAATAATCAGCTACATTGAAAGCATCCAAACAGAAGGTTTGTAAGATCTGTTACTGTTGAAAAGAGTGAAAATAATTTTCTTGAGACAACGAGCTGGAGTAGCTCAGTTGGTTAGAGCGTGTGGCTGTTAACCACAAGGTCGAAGGTTCAAGCCCTTCCTCTAGCGTTTTTAGTCGAGCTTCTTATTATTCTAAAATTTTCTTTTATGTTATGCAGTAGAATCTTATGTTTGGCAACCGTGGTGTTTTTGTCGTTTTAGTTTTTTTTATAAAAAAAAATGAAATGCGTTTGGCAACCGGGGTGTTTTTTTGACTTTACCCTTTACAAAATCGTGTTTGGCAAGCGGAGCGTTTTTTTGACTTGACCATTTGCAAAATCCAAAAAATAAACAATTTTCTCAAAACACCAAAAATGTGTTTTGAGATTCCGTTTTTTCATTTAAGTCGTCGCCGCCCCCAGCCCGCCGGACGTCGTCCGTCGCCCCCGCACCGCCCCGCCGCGCCCGCCGTCGACACAGTCGTCCGCCTACCCGCCGACCGCCGCAACGATCCGTCTGGCCACGTCGCGCCCGTCGTGGCTGTCCGTCGCCCGTCGGCCGCCTTACGCCCTCGCTATCCGGTGCCGCCGGCCAGACGGCCCCCCTCCGTCAACGCGCGTCCGCCCGCGGCTGGCCGCCGGGCCACCTCCGCTGACGTCACTCGTCTGCCCGTCGCCGGCCGTTATATAAATATACACTATAAATAGTGTTTTCAAAACATGTTTGAAAAAAAAACACCATGGCATGATGTTTTTCTAACAAAAACACTATTGTAATAAAATCACTTTGAAGTGTCGTTCTGTTTGGATGTATTCTCATGCAATTTTTCTAATGTTTCCGCATTTTTTCATAGAGAAATGCTCTCTTACTTAATAGATTTATGTACATTATTAGGCAATCTACAGTGCTAACACAAAACAACAGAATCATTAGTATACATGTAGCTCACTTTTCTGCTTTGCGAATTTAAGAAATTTGTACATCTCAGCCACAATCTTAGCGGCTTATCACCCTACATTGCAAAGGAACTCAAATTTGATCCGAAAGAAACCAAATTATATCTAACAAAGTAATAATGAGTCCGCAGTTAATAGCTTTTAACTGATTAATTCCAAGTTTTAGCACTATAATAACGAGTTAACGCTTTACCAAATATTTTCTATTATATATGTACACATATACACGTTCATGCATGCAGAAGTTAATCACAACCAAATACAGAAAACACAACCAAAGAACACAATTCATCGAGTATAAAAAAACATCTATGGCTCGCGAGAATTTAAAATTTAAGACAACAGCAAAAATTCAATTTTTCAAGATTCCCAACTAAAACAGACTTGAGAGCGCAGAGCAAAAATGTAATAGCATATCCTCATCCAGCAACAAATTGAAAAACTGAAATGGCACAACTAATAGTCACCACAAATTCTACTCCACACTACTATGCGAAAAGTATCCATAAAAACTGAACCAATAATATTTTCTAAGCCTTGAGCCTTCCATAGAATTTCTGCTTCTCCTCGGTGGTTTGGAAACGTCCATGGCCAAACTTGGACGAGGTATCGATGAACTTGAGCTTGATTTCCTCGAGAGCCAGACGAGAGGTTTGCTTCAGGAGAGACTGGCGAAGGGTGACAACCCTCTTCTTGGGACCAACACAGCAACCCTTGATCAAAATGTAGTCATCTTTGACAACACCGTAATGAGGGAATCCTCCCATGGGAGTGATATCCTTCTCAGTCCTATTAACAACCATAAACCCAGTAATTTTAGATTAAAAGAACCAAAACTAAGGTAAAGCCATAGAGAACGGGAAAAGGTATGTAGTCATTAAAGGGGTTAACATAAAGGACAAAAAGTCTAAATTAACCTTATGAATATGTATTAACCCTAACCCCCAAAAAAAATTATATGGGTTTGTAAAGCATATTCAGGGTTGTTGTCTCTAATTTACAAAGTTTAGGCTGTTTTAGATAAACCACCCCAAAGTTCATAGTGAGTTTTGGGTGGGTTTTCTGCAAAACTACCCTAATCTTCATAGGGATGATATCTTTCAGAGTTTTGAAAGATTTTTGTTTGGCAAACAACAGGGTCAGAGCTAGACCTGTTTTCACAGGCTAAATTATTGCCTTAAACCAGTTTTCTTTAGGACCCGCGGGGTGGGCGGTGGCCCAAAAGAAAAGTGGTTTAGCACAAAACTGGGCCTCGTTTTGTGTAGTTTGCCAAGCACACCCTTATTGACAACCATAATCCAGTCCAAGGTTATCGATAGCGGATAGCGTCGCGTAGCGGTGAGACATCGCTAAGGCTATTTCGGGCTATTGCGGCAAAATAGCGGTAAAACGCGCAAAGTCAAATAGCGGTCTAATTTAGATATGTATAAATACTAAAAAAAGAAAAATTAAAAAAAAATCTAAGAAATCTAAAAGTATATATTGGATGATTTAAAGAGATTCTAAACATGAAATAGACATGTAACCATCACGTAATACCGAAGATGACCGGAGGAGTCAAAAAGTCGTCTTCGAGAAGAAGAGCTTAGCGGTGACAGGACTTCCCTAAGAGGAGCTCACGGTGAAGGAGGTGAGAGGAAGTATCAAGGTAGGTGCCAGAGGCTATGAGAGGTGACGGGAGTATGCTGAAAATCACAGGAGACGGTGGAATGCAATGGTCAAGGGTTGAGTTTAATTTTAAAAAAATAAGCCTCAAACCGTTTTTAAATAGCGGTCAAAAAGCAAATTTCGAATACAATCGCTCACTATTTACCGTTATGACACACTATTGGCCGCTTTTGCGAACATACATATTCCGCAATATGTCACCGCTATTGTGTGATAGCGTAGCGGGCGATAGCGTCGCGGGAAGGGACCGATAACGCTATTAGCACCGCTATTGCGGGGCTATTTACCGCTATTTATAACAGTGATCCAGTCTTCGATTGAAGAACACAAGCTAACAAGGTAAACCTCTTGGAAAAAAAAGGTAAATTTCAGCAAACCCAACTTTGGGATGTTTTGCTCTAAACTCCCTACGTTTTTATTAGAAAACCTCCAAAATTTTCAAAACATTATATAAACCCTTTCACTTTTTGAAAAAAAAAATGTCACAACTCCATGAAAATGAAAGGTAAAAGGTCTCAACTAACCTTATTAATTATCAACCATAAGACAAAAAATTCAAAACTTCCTTTCAGTAAAAATAAGCGTAGGATAATTCTCAAACATTTCGCACATGACAACTTAAAACTGTCTTAAATGTAAGTAATTTAGTGAAGCAAGTTCGAAGGTTTAGCTAATTTATGACGTTCAGGGAGTTGTGCAAAGCGGTTCAAAGTTCAGCAGTGTTAGTGTATATTCCAAAAAGAAATATACATTGATAATTTGATATATTACCTGTCAAACTCAGTAACAGCGGTATGAGACTCATCACCAGCCTTTCCAAGCTTGTACACCTTCTTGTTCATCTCAGTACGGTGATGATACCCGTTCTGCCCAGCACGAGCAACAGTGAAAGAAACTCTAGCGGGATGCCAAGCTCCGATACAAGCAACTTTGCGGAGCCCTCTGTGAGTCTTTCGGGGCAGACGAGTGACACCCCAACGAGTGACAACTCCTTCGTAACCCTTACCCTTTGTCACTCCGATGATATCGATCATCTCGTCTTTTTGGAACACCGCGTCAACTGGGATTTGCTTCTCAAAGAAGCTGTAGGCATAGTCTACCTTCTCTGCGATGGTTCCTCCGTTCACTTGGATTTCCATTAAATGGGCTTTCTTCTGCTTCAAACCCTTCATCTTCCTAATCTGAAAAGGATGGATGGACAACTACATGGTTCATACACTATCACCAAAATGCATGTCTACATTATGTTGTCTAACAATAAGCAACCTGGTATCGAGTTGGATCCCTGAACTATAAACTAAATTAGATACAATAGAAAAATCTTTGAGGATCATTGCATGAATCTTATTTTTCCATCCAGTTATGTTAAGGGCCATCTCTTCCGTTAAGTTGCTATTAGTATATCCTTCTTAATTGCTTTTAACCAAGTTCTTTTGTGCATACAACTGTGTGTATATACACATGCATTGTTATAATTTAAAGAATTTTCTTTAACACAGAGCAGAACAAACAACAAACAGATACAAATAAATGGTCATGCCTGTTTATCTGTCTTAACAAGACAGAATTGCCGATAATAAGAGTGGATATTGGTAAGCAAAGAGAGAACTCAGATTATACTATAATTAAACAAGAAACTTATTCAGAAAATTTCAAAATTATGAGATTACAGCAGAGTTTTTGAGAACCATGTTAACTCATTAAGTGAAGATATTCATATACATGGTCATCAGGCAGAAGCAAGTACCTGAGTGTGGGCCAGCACACGGACAACAGAAGCATATTTCTTTATCTTCTCAAGCTGGGTCTGGATTTCCCTGAGTGTGGGCCAGCACACGGACAACAGAAGCATATTTCTTTATCTTCTCAAGCTGGGTCTGGATTTCCTTCTTCCCATCCTCAGTTTCGTATTTCTTCAGCATATTTCTTTATCTTCTCAAGCTGGGTCTGGATTTCCTTCTTCCCATCCTCAGTTTCGTATTTCTTCGAGTATTTGGTGAAGGCCTTCTTCTTGGATCTGTACCAGTTCTTATAGAACCTCCTCCTGACTTCCTCACTCAGATGCTGAGCCCATACTGTGTTGAGAGAGCGAAGGCCACGTGGAGTCTTCACATAGCCGACAACTCCAACGACAACCAAAGGAGGAGTTTCAATGATTGTGACAGCCTCACATGTCTCCTTCTTGTGAAGCTCTGCAAATCAAAGAAATTCATAGAAAAAATGGCTTAGATAAGCTTCAGCAAAAAATGACTTATCATATCCTAAGGCAGATGCTAACCTTGACAGGAAGAAAGTTAAATACAGATAACCAGCTCAAGATACATAGTTTGATTAAGGCTGATTCAAAGCAGATTCAAGTAGAAAATATTGCAAAAAGAGATTCCCATTAGAAAAGCAAACATATCGTCAAAGGAATGAAAGAATAGCAGAAGAACAATTATCAAAAGTAAGTTTCATAGTAAATGACATCTGAAGGTTACATATAAAAATGGTGATGAAAGATAGTTTCTTATCTGAACCTACTTAACATGATTATGGTAGGAGTAGAAAGTAACAGTAGTTATCCAATTTAGGCGTATAAAACATTTAAATAACACATTCCCTCACATATATCTTCCAAAAGGATACTCTTCTTCAAATGGTAAGACGTTTATGCATATGAAAAAACTAGTTAAGGTAGAAGGACAATGAAACATACTATTGTGGAGTATACCTTTAGGAAATTATAAAAACACAAACAAATCCACATAAAGAAAAGCATAATCAGAAATCACTACTAATACTTGAGTATTCACCAATATGCATGAAAGAACCCTAGTGGATAGTTTAGGCAGAAAATGGTAAACAAATTAAATGGTCGAGTTCAAACATTAAAAAATTTTAAATGGCCTTTTCACTTACTCGACCCTGGCTTCTCCACCTCACGGACGATATGGGTCATGCCAGCCTTGTACCCAAGGAAGGCTGTAAGCTTGCATGGCTTGGTTGGGTCATCCTTAGGGAAGGACTTCACTGCAGCAAAGAAAGGTAAAATCAACAATCTGACAGAACAAAGTACAATGGGACATGATGTACCTTCATCACCATTGAAATAACTACCAAAAGATAATAAACATTTAATAAACATTTAATAGACTTGTAGAAAGCTGGAACTAATAATACCCAGTTACTTAAAATTTCAGATCAACACTCGTTGACTAGTCAAAAGAGACACAGTTACCCCCAAGGAAAAAGCCTATGGATGTTGGAAACTATCTTTCTAATCTAATGGGTTGTGGTTAAGACCAAGACAGCCTAGTTAGAGGGGGAAAAGATCATTTTTCATGTTGGTATCCATTTCATTGTGCTCATCACTGTCATTTCAAACAACAGCCTAGGTGAACTAATAGATGATTGATGATATCCAAGGTTTGCTTGTTAGAGGGTTCACACATTCCCCTATAACGATCGAGGTTTACTTACAAATGAAGACTAGATTGCTAAAATTTCGATATGTGCGCATACAAAGATGCAATAGATTTAAAATTGCAAATAGAACCCTAACCATTATCGACAAAAACACAAACTAAGCACATTACTGCTCCAACCAACGGATACAACAATAAAGTTTAGAACTTGGAGGTAGAAAATGAAACCTTTTCCTCGGTGGCGGGAAGCCCGCTTCCTCGGGAGAAATCCAAGGGATCCATGCCTCGGGTGCTCGAACTTCCGATGGGACATCCTCCTCCTCTTCCTCCTCAAACCCTAATTTCGACCAATTAGAAGAAGAAAAAAGATTAGGGTTTCGATCGCCACTGAAACCCTGGAAACCCCAAGAGCGAGAGAAGAGAACTGACCTGTGATTTCCTCTGACGGCGGCAGCCTCGAGCTCGAGATCTCCGCGCATAAACCCTAGCGAGCTATTTATATGAGCATGAGAATGGGATTGTATGTTTGAATGACCATAATGCCCCTAATGTGTATACCCTTGGCGGGCTAAATTGCAGTAACATACCTTATAAAACGGTAATTTTAAGCAACTCAAGTCAAGGTATATAAATGTTCTAAAAAATAATCGAGAGCATGTAAAGGCTAAATAAATAAAACATAATGTATTTTAGTGCAATTTAGCCCCCGGAGAATTGAAAGTCTTTTTTTTCTCTTTTTCTTGTTTTTTTTTCTCTTTTGCTTTACATTTTTTTCAAGTTTTTTATCTCAGTGCTTGGTACACAAGTTTGGATTTGGATTCCTATGAAACTTTTTTTTAAATGTGTGGATTTTTTGAGAAAACGTATAATAGACAATGTAGTCTATAGCTTTCAAGATTTTTCATATTAGACCCATGAATTTTGAGAAAATTGAAAAATAACTGTAGATTCTGTAGAACATTTTTATGCCCCTTGTCATAGTTTGTACATAACTTTTGACCATCAAAAGAGGAAAATTATAGAATTTTAGGGCTTGTTTGGCAAACCTATTAGACTAGTTTTAGTTTGATCAAACTTTGCCTAATAGCTTAGCCCTTATTTGACAAAACAGAAAGTGGGCTTAACATGTGTTTTGCTCGGCCCCATTTTGCCTAATAATTGGGCCAGAAAAGAATCATGTCCCCCTGATTTTGATACAGAAAACCGTTTTATGTGCCCCTAAAAAACAAAAAAAAAAAAATTATCAAGTTGGGACTCTTTTTTTAAAGATTTGTGTTTACCAAACAATATATAGTTTAGAATCAATTTTGTCTAAAATTTAGCCAAACTAAAGGGGGTTTGGGAGGGCTTATTATTTTGAAGCTTATAAATTAAGTTGGCTTTCGTGGCTTTTGACTTTTCTGATAAAAATGCTATAAACACTATTTGGGCAGAATAATAATTTCTTTGGTCAAACCTAGCTTATTTAGGTAAGCTTATAAGCTAATTTTTCAAAACTGGGGTATACCAGCTTTGAAAAATGGTGAAAAATGGGGCTTATGAGTCAACTTAATTTGATATTTTACTAAACAAGTAGATATGAAAAAACTAACTTAAAAGCTAGTTTGACCAAAAGGTAAGCTCCCTCAAACACCCTCTAAGTCCATCTCAAAACTAGTTCACACATAACTAGTTTAGCCTAACCTCGGCTAAGCCTATCTAGTTCATAACTAAACAATGTTAGTTTTTTTAAGTTGCCTAGGCTGTTTGGTTCGCTATTATAAGGGGTGGAAAACTCAGAAAACCCTTCCACGTCAGATTTTTAGCCCTCCACGTCAGCTTTTTTGTTTCCGTTCATTTCTTTGTGCCGCTTTGGTTCGCTCGAATGGAAGAGGGAAAACTCTGCTGAAATCGCCGCCAATTAAGATTTTTTCCCTCTCCGATTTCCTTCCCCAACCAAGTGAAATTGATGAAAACTCTGTCACGTCAGATTTTTTTTCCTTCTCTGCTTTGTTTACAAAAGTTTTCCTTTTTTTCTATGCGAACCAAACACAAGAAAAATAAATACATTGGTTTCCCACCATTTTTTATGTGCGAACCAAAGCAAAACAATCGATTTCTTGGAAAAGTTTGGAAAACTCAAAACTTGTGTTTCTTTACATGGAATTGCATTTCTCTATATCAAAGAAACGAACCAAACAGCCCCTAAGTTTCAATTTTTTTTTCCTAGTTTAGTAGCAGCAACAACGTCAAAGTTTTCAGTCTCAAAATTGAAGATGGCTTCATAAATTCTACTCTTGCACTCAGTCCTATTGAGAACTATCCTCTTAACTAAGTTAATTAATTTCTAATTTATACAAAATAAAAATAAGATATAATAGACAATTGGTCCGTTAATCTCAACAGTTCACTTTTAAAATTAACTAGTATAGTGCACGTGCTTTGCACGAAAGTATACTTGTTTTGTTTTATGTTTTTAAAATTTTTTTTCGTTCACTCCAAAATAATAAATTAGAAAAAAAAACTATCCTCTTAACAAAATAAGATACTTGTTTTGTCATAATTAATTAACTTTTAAAATGTATCTTTCGTTCACTCCAAAATTTATATAGCAATATAAATTTTGAATAATTATAATTTTATTTAAATGAATAAATTGTATGATAAAACTATGTATAAAGAATTGTATGATTAACTATTATAGTTTGGATAATTGTTATAATTTACTCATGACTTATTAAAAAAATTATAATATATTAAATAATTTCATCTTTTTTAAATATAATAATATTATACATAGCATAATTATAGTACTTTTAGTGACTACATTTTAATTTTATGATTAGTTTATTACAGTATTAGTAAATAATTTACTGAATTGTGTATATTAAATTACAATATAACTTATTAATTTAAAAATACTATTAAAATCATCATATTATTATTATAATAAATATAAATTATTTTTCATACTATTATCATACTTTTAAAGGCTAATAAGATGAAAGGTAAAAGTAGTTGTTCATAAGAAGTGAAATCCAGAGGCATAAGGCATAAGCCTAATGAATTGTTATTATTTTTAATTCTTCTAGAATTTAAAATATTATGCGAAGATAACTTATGGATAAATTTCTATTAAATATCACAATCAAATAATAAAATAATAATGTGACCAAAGATTTTTAAAAATAAAGAAATGCATAATTAATAAGAGGTTATATATAATTAGTGAATGATTAATTACAACTAATGACACATTTGAGAATTATCAAACTTAAAGGGCAAAATTAGAAATTAAAAGTTTTGACAAGGCAATCCTTTTTTTGGATTAGCCTGCTATTTCAAATATTATGCCTAAGTCCAACAACATAAGATATACACATCTAGCACCTTGTCATTCCATTGCAATTTATTCATTTTTTTGAAGCAATGTGATCCGCTCATGAGATATTTTGATTTACGGTATCTAGTATATCTAATCCATGATGTTTATGGTGCATTGGATAGATACTAACTTTTAAATTATCAGATATCAGTTAGTTTTTTTCCCCACTAATTAATCTAAAGAGTCATATATCTTTGGTGCATGGTAAATTTCATGAACTAAATTCATTAAATAACTTCCCCACCTCGTATTTCTTTGGTGCCCCATTAGGTTTCATTAA